ATATATATATATATATATATATGCTATAACGATATATAATTTTGCATATTTTTATATATCAACAAAAATATCCAGAAAAAATGAGAACACATTGGAAAATAAGTTTTTGTGACGCGTTTCATCCATTAGGATTTAACCGCAAGTGTAATTATTTATTTAAAAATATGATTCCAAATCGCTACATAAGAGGTCTCATGTTTCTATATATTTTCACATATTATATATATATATATATTTTGTAAAATAAAAATATCTATAAGAACACCGGATTTTATATCTTACTGTTCTTTCTTTATATATATATATATATATATATATATATATATATATATATATATATATATATATATATATATATTAGCTGCTTGACCCACATACATCGAATACGACGGGGGAGTCCAATATATATATATATATATATATATATATATATATATATATATATATATATATATATGCAGTTCGAATCCAGGTTGAATCCATCACATTCACTTCCGTGCTAATACCCTTGGGAAATGTGTGAATCCTCTTCTTCTCCTTCCAGCTATGGGTTAAATAGCAGGACAGACTGGCTTCTATAGCCTTGGGTGGCAACTGGTCTAGGAGAAGGACAACTCTGAATTCAAACCTGTGGAGGGTCGTTTGGGGACCTTGTGGCACGTAGTGCACCAGGTCTCTGTATTCGGCCATTCAAAAAGTGTGGATGGTCCTGCGCGAAGCCTTCACCACTATAATCAAATCTCATGTGCCGGTGTCGGACTGTCGGTTTCCTGGAAACCTGATCTGATTGACCCTCATACGTCGAACCCGACAGTAGAATCGATTTATATATATATATATATATATATATATATATATATATATATATATATATATATATATATATTCATAATCATTCATACAAAAAACAAATATATATATATGATTTAAATATATATAATATATATATATATATATATATAAGATATATATATATTCATATACATTCGGGGTTGATATATATTATTTATATTGTTTATATATATATATATATATATTTATATATTATATATATTTGTTTTTTTTATGAATGATTCATGAATTTATAAATTATATTTGCACCTTTTAATTGAAATATATATATATATATATATATATATATATATATATATATATATATATATATATTCTGTTTATGCATTATTTTTATAAAATATAATAAAATAAATGTCGATATATATATATAAAATTTATATATATAAAATTTATTCGAAAATTGTAATATAAATATGTTACAAAATCATCACAAAATTTTTATTATGCTGCTCCTTGAATATATTTTTGTAGTGATTTTATAACATATTTATGTTATAATTTTCGAATAAATTATATTTGCTCTACTCTGTATTGAGCACTTTTTAAGAATAGTATTTTTTTTTATTGAATTTATTCCGTTTACGCTAATCCTATACGTGGCTATATATATATATATATATATATATATATATATATATATATATATATATATAAGCTCCTGAAAATTTTTTTCGTTTGAGGTCTTCGGGGAGAAAAAAAATTGTAAACAGTGACTATTAATGAAGGAAGACTAAAAATAAATACGTCTATATTCAACTTTATTCTTGCCTCCGACTGAGGCAATCAGATGGTCTATCCACACTGACGAGCTGTGAAACAGCGAAACTGTCTGTCGGTGGATGACAATATATATATATATATATATATATATATATATATATATATATATAAAAAGCTCAGACACTAATATTACATGGTCATAGTTTAGTACATTGGAATTGTAATCATGGTTCAATTCATCAGACCTACAAATTCAAAAATTTTAAATTTTATTAACTAATAACTGATACAACAAAAGTTAATAAAATGAACACGCAACCACACCTTGTCTGGATGAATTGATTTCTCTGTATCCTTGGAAACTGTAAGTTATGATTTTTGCCGTACCTTTAAAAGCCAGTAAATTTTAAAATAAGTTACTCCAAAATTCGCCTGAGGATGAAATGGAACAAATGTCTTTAATTTAATTACAAAATTAAATTCTAAGCTTTTAGCTCCCATTTTTGAAACATGGTTAGAACTGTGTAGCGAAAAAAATATTTTAAATCAGTTAATTTATTATATATATATATATATATATATATATATATATATATATATATATATATATATATATATCCGATGCGATGAGAACAAAAGTAATATATAAATTCCAACGTTCACAGCATTAATCCAAAAGAGGGCTCGATACCGATAGGAGAGCGATAATTATTTATTTATTATAATTTTTTTCATATAGGCACAACCATTTTACTCACTACAAAGGTGCAACTTGGTTTCAGTGCATTTCAACTGCACTTCGACGGGTGAGAATCGAGTGCATCGTTGTAGTGAGTAAAATTTTTCTGTCCATATGATAAAATGATATATATATATATATATATATATATATATATATATATATACACTTTATAAAAGACTATATACGAGGGTAAGTAAAAAATTATACGGGCTTTCGCCATAACACATTTTCCTCTTTTCACTCTACCTTCTCCTCATATGTGCTGATACTTGGTACTCTTGTGGTCCCGTGACCGAAGTTTGAATGTGATCGCGGCATTTTTTTGCTGCTGTTACAGTGTAAACATGGACGCTCCGCCAGCAGTTTGCACCAATGAAAAACAAAGAGCAGTGATCCGATTTCTCTTGTCGGAAGGTGTGTCACTGTTCTAGACTTTTAGCACAATGGGGCAACAGGGTACTGCTGAGTAGAAGTGTATATGTGTAGCTCAAGAAGCTTAAAAGAACTCGGGCAATTGTAGCGCAAGGAACAAAATGCACGTCATGCACCATCACTGACAAGAATATTCAGCAAGCTCGGGAGATTGTAATGGCGAACCGGCGAGTTATTATCGATGATATAGCATGTCTTCTGCAGATTTAGATCACTGCTCTCCCTTCTTGGTGAACACTGTTAGGGAAGCGGCCATGTTTACATTGTAACAGCAGCAAGAATACTAACGCGATTAAGCTCAAACTTCGATCACTATGTGGAACATGTGTATCAAAATTTATCAGCAAAACGCTGTCCCACCAAATCTGTGTTTCTACCAACTTCTCTAGTACGTTTTCGACAAGAAATACACGTTTTTCAGTTGTTAAAACCATATTGAAGTGAAATCTGAAATATATGATTAGAACAATTTACATTAACTTTCCTTTTAAGTTAAATAAAATAATTTATTTAATTTACTTACGTTATTTTATTGATGTCACTTATTATTATTATTATTATTATCATTATTATTATTATTATTATTATCAATTTGAAATTGTAATGATTATCATACGATGCTGATTGTTTCGCTGTCTTATTTGATATCCATATAAAAAAAATTCAATGTATCTATTTTAAATCTGATCACACCAATCATTTACCCTGTATTTTAAATTGTTTTGTCCTTAAAGAAAAAATCTTTTCTAAGTCACCCTGTCGGCTCATGATCAATTCTTCCCGTTCTTTTATTTCCATCCCTCTCACACTCTCTCCTTATCTCTCCATCTCTCTTCCCATCTCTCATTCTTTCTCTCTCCCCACTTAAACCTTATACTGAAGTTTTTGTTTCTTTATTCCTCTTTTAATATTATTTTTTTTCTTTTTGGTTTTTCTTCTTTTTTTTTTCTCGCCCTGTCCTTTCGTCTGGTTAAATTGACTCCATTTATTAAAAATATGTCGATCTGAAGAGACAAATATTTCTATATTCATAAAATAAATTATAAGCAAATGGACTATTAAGGATAATCTGTAGTCATCATTATGCATATATATATATATATATATATATATGTGATCGAAATATGTGTAAAACTTAATATTGCTAGACATATTAAAAACGGGCGAAGCAACCGGTTTCGCTCCCACTCTTCAGGCTTCAACGGGGATTTAATTTAAAATTAAACACATAAAAATGTACAATAAAAGGAAGTAGTGAAAAATATATATATATACACACACATACATTAAGTTTTACACTTTTATTTCGATCATTAAATTTTGTATCTACAAAAATATCTTTAAATACATACACACACACACACACACACACATATATATATATATATATATATATATATATATATATATATATATATATATATATATATATATATATCTCCTTCATACCGATATGTAATAACATAAACGTTAACATCACTTTAACCCTATAAAATCCTAAAATAAACAGTGAAATTAACCTTTGCCAGCTGTGATCACACACAGTTTTTTTTTAGAGACGATGTAGCTCTCGGCTGGGATCGAACCTCTATTCCCTAAAACAATATATATGAGCGAAGATGATGAGAAAAAGTAGAAAACTTTTTATCAAAGGCGCGTTTCGCCGGAGAAAGCGTATACATGAATACAATTCAAACAAAATTAATTTTTTTTTTTAAAATTGACTATTATTAGCTACCTTTACGTGTTTCAACAGACTTTGAATTACACCATTTTGAATTACGCCATCTTGAATTAGGCCATTCTGTACCCTCCACATGTTTTGACTTACCTTTCAACCGCCTGATAAACATTCATAAACGTTCTCAAATCGCTTGGGTTTCAATCCTGGCTTGAAGCATTCGGATGTCTAGTCGCACTGATGATCTGTGATCCACCAAAATAGTACTGTCTGCGAATGAATATATATATATATATATATATATATATATATATATATATATATATATATATATAAAAAAAAAGGCTTAAACACTAATATTCCATGGTCATAATTTATTCCATTGGAATCGTAAATACGATCCAATTCATGTATGGGCATTTATATATTTTGCATACGTATGTATATTTACCACTAATATCTATATATATATATATATATATATATATATATATATATATATATATATATATATATATATATATATATATATATATATATATATATATATATCATAGTAGTAATAATTACATGCATCGACTTCTATATATGTATATATAGGTATCTTGGTAAATCTGTTAAAATGAAGTGTCAGTGTTATTTTCATGCTGGCATAATTTAGACGACAATTTATCCATCGCACTATCTATCTATTCATCTATCTATCTATCTATCTATCTATCTATCTATCTGTCCCATTCTGTTTCTATCTATCTATCTATCTATCTATCTATCTATCTATCTATCTATCTATCTGTCCCATTCTGTTTCTATCTATCTATCTATCTATCTATCTATCTATCTATCTATCTATCTATCTATCTATCTATCCCATTCTGTTTCTATCTATCTATCTATCTATCTATCTATCTATTGCATCTGTCAAAAATGCGCATATGTAAATACATCTGTATTTTGTTTTGTACAAGTTTTCTTATTTTTACGTGTGCATACATGTAAAATACGTACATTATATGTTTGTGCGTCTTTCCCTATGTCACTATATATTTATTTATGTGACAGTATGTGTTAATACACACACACACACATACATGTATATATATGTGTGTATGTTTGTATGTATGGGCGTGTGTGTATATATATTTTTATATATATGTACTCATGAAATCGCCGACAATTAATATTAAAATTATATTTTTTAATACAACAAAAATGTTTGTAATTTTTAAAATTGAAATTATTTTCGGAGTCAATTCAAAAGAAACCTTTCAGAAGGAAACCACAAGTTATAAAAGAAAGAGAAAATAAAATAAAGTAACACTTTTAAAATAAATTTTAAAAAATAAAGCACAAAAATAATTCACGAAACTCGTAGATGTCAAGGAAGTATTTTGAACTCGTAAGAAATTCCCTTAACAAACGAATGAAAAAAAAAAATATCCGAAACAACAAATTTGAACCTTTTCTCGTTTTGTCAGTATAATAAATTAAATGTCATGTGTTTACATTCAGAAATTCATTAATTATCTAATCAACCAATTAATTAATTATTTCGCTTTAATTCTTATGCTTTTGTCGTTTCTGTAAATGTTGTTTGTTTTTACCTTTGCAAATGTTCTTAAAATAATGTCCTGTTTACGGCTTTTTCCCTTGTTTTTAATAATTCAATTTTGTCTGTTATCTATATCCATAGTTTTTAAAAATGACATTTTTTTTTATTAATTTAGAACTTATATTTAATTGTTTAAATAAGCAATTGCTTTCATTATATATTTTACTTTTGGTTCTAATTTCTTCTTTTCTTTTCTTTCTTTCTTGTTTAATTTGATTGTTTCATTCTTTTCGCCAATTTTCTTTCTTTCTTTTTCAACTATATCTTTTCGTCATCATCAAAAAATATTACACCTTCAATCAATTTGTTCGTTTGTTTGTTTCGTTTTTCTTTCCTTCTTTCTTTCTTTCTTTCTTTCTTGCTATTTCTCTCGTATTTCAACCTAATATTACTCAGTACTTGTCTTTTTTCTTTCTTATTTTCTTGCTTTCTTTCTTTCTTCTGATCGTATTTTTATTTGTTTTTTCTATCGATTCAGATTGTTCTGTTCCACTTGTTTTTCTTTCATTCAGTAATTTTTTATTCTTTCTTTTACTTTCTTTCTTTCTTTCTTTCTTTTCTTTCTTTTCGTTGTTGTACTTAGTTTTCACATTAGTTTTTCTTTCCTCAACTTCGCTTTCTATTTTTCTTTAATTTTCTGTTATTTTACTTCCTTTTCACCGAATCATTCATTCATTCGTTTTTCATCAACTTTCTTTTCTTTCTTTCTTTCTTTTCTTTCTTTCTTTTCTTCTTTCTTTTTTCTTTTCTTCCTTCCTTTCTTTGTTTTCTTTTCTTTTCTTTTCTTTCTTTCTTTGTTTTCTTTCTTTGTTTTCTTTCTTTCTTTGTTTTCTTTCTTTCTTTCATTCTTTTCTTTCTTTCTTTTCTTTTTCTTTCTTTCTTTTCTTTTTTCTTTCTTTCTTTCTTTCTTTCTTTTCTTTCTTTCTTTCTTTTCTTTCTTTTCTTCCTTCCTTTTCTTTCTTTCTTTCTTTCTTTCTTTTCTTTTCTTTTCTTTCTTTCTTTTTCTTTTCTTTCTTTCTTTCTTTCTTTCTTTTCTTCCTTCCTTTTCTTTTTTTCTTTCTTTCTTTTCTTTTCTTTCTTTCTTTCTTTTCTTTCTTTCTTCCTCTTCTTTCTTTCTTTCTTTCTTTTCTTTATTTCTTTTCTTTCTTCCTTTCTTTCTTTCTTTCTTTCTTTTCTTTCTTTCTTTCTTTTCTTTCTTTCTGTCTTTCTTTCTTTTTTCTTTTCTTCCTTCCTTTCTTTGTTTTCTTTTCCTTTCTTTTCTTTCTTTCTTTGTTTTCTTTCTTTGTTTTCTTTCTTTCTTTCTTTTCTTTCTTTCTTTCTTTCATTCTTTTCTTTCTTTTCTTTTTCTTTCTTTCTTTTCTTTTTTCTTTCTTTCTTTCTTTCTTTCTTTTCTTTCTTTCTTTCTTTTCTTCCTTCCTTTTCTTTCTTTCTTTTCTTTTCTTTTCTTTCTTTCTTTCTTTCTTTTCTTTTCTTTCTTTCTTTCTTTCTTTTCTTCCTTCCTTTTCTTTTCTTTCTTTCTTTATTTTTTTTTCTTTCTATCTTTTCTTTTCTTTCTTTCTTTCTTTCTTTTCTTTCTTTCTTCCTTTTCTTTCTTTCTTTCTTTCTTTCTTTCCTTATTTCTTTGTTTTCTTTATTTCTTTTCTTTCTTCCTTTCTTTCTTTTCTTTCTTTCTTTCTTTCTTTTTCAATTTTTTCTCATATTTTCGATGTCGTTCGTTCCCTTTATTCATTCTTTTCAAGCTTTTTTTTCAGCAAATTTCTAATTTGTATTTTGCTTTCTTTCTTCTGTTTTCTCTTTTTTCTTTATTTATTCGTTCTTTCTTTCATTTTCATTAATTTCTTTCGTCAAGTTTCTTTCTTTCAAATTTCTTTTATTCATTTTTCTTTCTTTCTTTTCTTTTCCTTTCTTTTCTTTCTTTCTTTCTTTATTTATTTGACTTTATTCTTTTTCCATCCTTTATTTCGTCTTCTTTTTTTTCTGTGTTCTTCCCTTTCGTTCTTTCTTTTTTCATCTTTGTTTGTTCCTTGCTTTCTTTCTATATTTCTTTCTTTATTTTGACTCGATCTCTTTTCCTCCCTTTATTTTTTCTCTTCTTTCTTTGTTCTCTTACTTCTTTCTTTCTTTTCTCTTTATCCTTTTTCCTTCTTTTCTTTTTTGTCTCTGTTTTCTTTCTTTTTTCTTTCGTTCTCTTCTTTTCTTCTCTTTGTCCCTAACCCTTCCTTCCTCCCCCTCTCTCTCTCACTCTCTCTCTTTCTTTGAGTTTATCCTTTTTCCTTCCTTTACTTCTTTTTCTCTTCTTTCTTTGTTCTCTTCTTTTGTTCTTACTTTTTCCTCTTCATTCTTTTTCCGTCATTTCTTTTATCTCTCTTTCTTTCACGTTTACTTTAAATTTCTAACCACCACATGATTTATAGATTTTATAAATGAAACACGTACAATGACGTACATTAACGTTTGTAACTTAAACAATTTCAAAAGTTAAGCAATGATCTACATTCGCATTCATACGGCAATAGTTATTTTTGATGGGTACACTGCTAGTCAGATATAAAAGGGTCTAAGGAACAGTGACCAACGCTACTGATTAATTAGTTGCTACAGCTCGTATTTTTGCTTTTCAAAGAATGATCAATATTATATTTATACATGAACGCACAACAAAATATATGCTTCGGCAAAATTGATACACAAAAAATGACAGAATACAGTGAATGAAAAAACAAAACAAAAACACATTTGCAAAATTAACACTGAATTGTGATTTAAAGTTTTCCACTATAAACGATCGTCAGGCCATGTGTACCTCTTCATTAAGTGGTCTCAATATCAAGTCCATTGCTAGAAGAGAAAGAAGAATGTAGATTTTCTTATTTTCGTTGACTCATTTCCTATCATCGTTTCGTTATATATATATATATATATATATATATATATATATATATATATATATATATATATATATATATATATATATATATAAATTTAAATAAAAACAGACCACTTTAAGGTTCTATGTTATAAATTATTTCACCACAGCCCTTTTAAAGGACTGCGGATCATCAGACTTTACTTATAAACGTTGAAAAGAAAAATGAAAAGAATTCAACCTTTGGAAGTAAAGTCTGATGATCCGCAGTCCTTTAAAAGGGCCGTGGTGAAATAATTTATTACATGGAACATTAAAGTGGTCTGTTTTTATTTAAATTATTTGCTCTGGATTTACATTGAGCTCTCTGTATTTTATCCTCCTTGTGTCTACCCATGGGGATTACCTGGTTTTTCATAAACTAACTAACTATATATATATATATATATATATATATATATATATATATATATATATATATATATATATATATAGAGAGAGAGAGAGAGGAGGAGGATACAGGTTCGATTCCTGTAGGAGGAAGAATATTTTCTATGAAAATTTCTCGAACATTCTGGTCAGTAAATGTTGTTTAATACTGTTTATTATAAACTGAGCATTTACTTAAATATTTGTATCTATAAAAAGAGTGTATGAACATAAAAATGTCTTAAGATAATCGTCGGACTTTATCCATTCCATAATATATATATATATATATATATATATATATATATTAATTTATTTGCTTAAATATATAATATTTTTAATTAAAATTTCTAACGTGCTGGAAAAGATTAAAATTTAATCAAATAATCAAAAATGCTTTGATCTTTCAGGTCCTTATTGTATCACTGTATTCTTTTTTGAGAAAGTTTATCAAATACCTAATATATATATATATATATATATATATATATATATATATATATATATATATATATATATATATATATATATATATATATATATATATATATATATATATATATATATATATATATATATATATATATATATATATATATATATATATGTGTGTGTGTGTGTGTGTGTGTGTGTGTGTGTGTGTGTGTAGGAAAAGTAATGACAGTGGAAAATTTTGTGTTTAGGATACCATCGAACTAAAATGTTGTTTAAGTTGATGAACCCGAAATGAAGGGGTTGCTGAAATTTTAAATTTTAATTTAATTTTTTTTTTGCAATATATGTTTGGGTGTTGCTGTAAACTAGAAAAGTTTACTGAATGAGGAATAACTAAAACGGAGGTTGGAAATGAAGTAATAATCTTTATAACATCAACAAAATACAATACTCGCCAGCGCCGTGAAGTATGTAAACCACTGCCAATGGCGACTACTTAGACAGTATTTTATCCACACTTGCAATAGTTTCCAACGTATTAATGAGGATTAGGAGATACCCATTAATGTTCATAGGTACCGTATATAATAGTATTCATAGTTAGTATTCACGATACCTAAAGATTTAAATGAATTTTTAAAAATGAGAAATCTTTCTTGGATCTGTTATTTTTGTTTTCATTTCAAGCTAATAGATTAAATTTAATATTCCCAATAAG